CACGGGATCCATGGTGTGCCCGCCCAGCTGGGGCCTGGTGTGGGATTATCAAATCTGGCTGTTCTCCTGTGGACTGGGGCCAGTCCCTGGCATGGCTGCTGAACAGACGCATCTCAGGTTCAGGCCTCGGCTCAAGAGTGATGTCTTCTCTGACCGTTGGGTGCCCTCCCCATCCTCGCAGTGGCACCGCCCTCCCTGTCAGCTGTCTTGGCTCAGCCTGCCTGGCTGTCCCAAGCCCTGACTTTGTCCAGGATCTCCACTGCCTCCTGACTAAGCCTTGGAGGAGTGGCGGGGCTCTGAGGCCCCCATTGGTTAAACTTGTCTGTCGCACATTTCCCCACCTCTCCGCATGACCGTCTGCCTGCCTTGGGACTAGAACAGGCCTGGCCTGAAGTGAGCAGCAGGATGCCGTGGAGCCGAGGAAGGAGCTGGAACCTGAGAAGCTGGCCTAGGCCACCTGGTGCTGCTGTACTCCCCCACCTCTGCCCCCACCCCAAACTCTCCAGACTGCAGCTGTGCGCCTCTTTTTGAGGGAATGGAAATGGGAAGGATGGTGACAGTGGGGCTTGTCCCTCTGTTTATTTGGAGTTGAGAGCCCAGCCTTGCTCAGAGGAGCACTGCATTTCCTGTCTGCAGCATGATAGGGTCTCTCAGCTGGGTATGCCAGAGAGGACTAGACATGGGCTGGAGGCCCCTGGAGAAGAAGTCCTATTGTGTACTAGGCATTCTGGCTCCTCAAAGGCAGGGACTGGATGCAGTTTACCTCCATATTCTCAGTATTGGCCCAGGATGTGACACAGGAGAAATCACTTGGTGAGCGAATGAACAAACAAGTGAATGAAAGAGTGAGGTGAAAGTCTGCTGTCAGGCGTACAGATACTGTGAAGAGATTCATAGGGTGGAATTGAGAACAAGAATGGAACTAAGGCTTTTGAAACTGGCCCAGGGCTTTTCCCTCTCCAGTCCTTGTCTTCCCCCTTCTTCTTGAAGAGCCACCATGATGGTGGATGTGATAGGCTGGTAAAGCAGAGGGTGGCATGTGTGTGTGTGTGTGTGTGTGTGTATGTGCACGTGTGGAGAGTAAAGAGGCTTCCCCATGTGCATGTCTGTAACCGCCCACAAGGCTACACCCATACCCAGAAACCCTACACATTCAGCTTTCTCCCTCCTCCTCTCTGCCCTTTGCATCTTGCCTCCTCCATTCCTCTACTCCCTCAGAACTTATTTCTGGAAGGTGCTGTCCAGAATCCTGGTTGAGAAAGGTTGTGGAAAGGAGTCTGCCTGCCTCCCCCTCCAGCTGCTCCCATCCCCAGCCAACTGCTTGCATCCACATTCACATCCATATCCAAGTAAGCCTCCGGTGCATAGCCAGGCCGGAAATGCCTTGGCAGTGGTTACCATGGTGATGGGACCTGCTGCTTGGCCTGTGGAGGTCTGGAGCCTACGAGAGCCTGAAAACTGGGCAGCCTAGCACCCTCTACCCTCCGTTTAGGCTGAGAACCCCTCCCTTCCCCAGTGCCCAGCACTGTGCCTACTGCCCAGGGGTTTTGGGGTATGAGCTCTGACTCTGGGATCGCACCAGCAGTTCTGGGTCAGACAGGCCTGGTTCAAATCCCAGTTCTATCATGTAAACGTCAGTAACCTTGGACAAGTCCAGTCAGAATGTTCTGAATTTATTTCATTAGCTAAAGAATCCTGTGGAGAGAGGGAGAACTGTCCAAGAATACATTCCCACCCCCCACCCCCCATGAAAGCCAACACTGCTCCATCCTGCAGCGGTGACAGGGGCCCATCGAGTCGTGGCACTGCTGCCCTCGGAGGCCCTGCCAAGCAGTGCTGTGTGGCGGGGAGGAGCTCGAACTGCAGCCAGATCTCTGGTTCACAGCTAGCCTTTGCCACTTCTTGGGACCTCGGTTTCCTCATCTGTAACAGGAGCATAATAATGGAAGTAGATCATAGATTTGTGGTGTGGATAAAAGGTAATGAAACTTAAAACCATAGAGCTGATTCTAACCCATGGCAACCTTTCAGGGGCTTTCTGAGTCTATAAATCTTTATGGGAGGAGACTACCCATCTATCTCCCATATGGAGCATCTGGGGGATTTGAACTGCTGATCATTTGGTTGGTGGGCCAACATGTAACATTTTATGCCACCAAGACTCCTTAGTGCTTCTGAAGTGCTTGCAAGGCTGTTTGGCTTGTGAGAAGTGCTGTATAAATGCAGCTGCTGCCATCATCACACAGTTGGCATCGGTTACAAATCAGAGCCTGCAGGCCTGCTGCTCTTTTTCTCACATGTGCCCATGTGCCCAGCTCTTATTTACAGCCTGACAAGGGAGACCAGTTAGCTGGAGAGATGTGATGGCAAGAGGGGTCTTCCACATCCCCGACCCCACGTAGCTGGCTGTCCCTCTTCCAATCGTCTGCCTGTGGAGTAAGTCATGCTGCTCCTGACTTTTGAGTTTGGGATTTCCACCCTGCTTCCCAGCTGGCAGCTGAATGGCCCTGACCTGGGTTAGATGTCTGAACAGGGCTGTCCAGAGCCCTCTGGATCCATATAGTCAAGTGCTAAAGGCATATTAACACCCAGCAGAGGTCTGTGCCTGATGCCACCCAGGAATTGAGGGGCCCTTTGGGGATAGGAAATAGGAACTACTTTCTTGAAATACTTTATTGCCAACAACTCTTTAGGCTTGATTGCTGTAGGTCTTCCTAGGCTGTCTCGTCTGCTGCAGGTGGTTGATACTCAACTCTTAGCCAAAATGGTTGGCAGTTCAAACCTACCCTGTCGCACTGCCGAAGAAAGGCCTGGTGATCTTTCATAAGATTAAAAACTCAAATTCATTGCCATTGAGTCAGAACTGACTCATAGTTGACCTTCCAGCAGGTTTTCAGAGGCTCCAAATGGCATGGAAGGAGATTTTCCACCTTTCCCCCAAGGAGCAGCTGGTAGATTTGAACTGCCTGCCTTTTGGTTAGCAGTATAATTCCTTATCCACTAGGCCACCAGAACTCACTTTTGTAAGATTGTTATTGGTTTGTACCATTGAGTTGTAGGCCCACTCACGGCTGACCCTCAGTGGGTTTTCAGAGAAATCATTCTAGAGGATTCTATCTTGGAGCAGTTGGTGGATTTGAACTGTTTGCCTTTGGATTGGCAGCACAATTCCCTCCTTACCACTAAGCCACCAGAGCTGCCTTCCATAAGAACACAGCCACTGAAAACTTACGGAGCACAGTTCCTCCTAGAGACACGTGGGACCGCCCTGAGTCAATATTAACTGCAACTAAAGAGAGTCACATAAAGCTGGACAATGACTAGAAATGATAGAGGAGAATTGATGTCTTTGAGCTGTGGTGTTGGAGTATTGAATATACCATGGACTGCTAAGAGAACGAACAGATTCATCCTGGAGAGGGTTAAACCAAGCTACTCATTAGAGGCGAGGATTATGAAGCTTTGTCTCTCATACTTTGGACATGTTGCAAGGAGGGACCAGTCCTTGGAGAGGGACATGATGTTTGGGAGGGTGGAGGGACAGCGCAAGAGAGGAAGACCCTGGATGAGAGGGATTGATTCAGTGGCTGGGAAAATGGAGATAGGTGTGTCAGATACAATAAGATTGGCACAGGATAGAGCAGGGTTTAGGGCTGTTGTACATAGAGTCTCTTTGCGTCACAGGAGACTCGATGGCACATAACAACAACGAGAGCAATAGCAGGCCTTCCCACACAGAGAGGGGCAATCTTTTAAGAATGAAGGTGACTCTGAGGTAGAATTTTAAAAAGCTGAGCCACAAGCTGAAGCAAGGCCAGAATTCCTTGTACTCCTTCTCTTTTCCTTCCCTCCCTCTCAGGTGGGTTTGGAGGTTTTTTTATAGTTTTCTTTGATGTTTTATTTTTTAAAATTTTTTTGAATTGATTTTAATGAAAGTTTATAGAGACTTAGGGTTTCCAGTCATTCATTGTTACACTTTTCTCCCTGCCCACCCCTTCCCCCTAATTCACTCTTCTCCTTGAAAAGTAAAATTCTTTCATTGTTGTGCAATCCCTCTCCCCAAGTCCACTGTGCAGCCTTCACTCTGGACTCCTGTCATGACCATAATACCCAATCATATGTCCGTTTTGAACAGTTCTTTCCCTCATCTGTTTCAATGCCATATACATTATTCATCCCCTCCTTCTCTGTCTTCCCTCAACCCCAATGTCAGTCCCATTTTACAACAGTGGCCCTATGCAATACTTGTTCTTTTGTGACTGAGATATTTCACTCAGCATATTGTCCTCCAGGGTCATCCATTTTGCTAATATTTCATGAGTTCCTTGTTTTTCAATGCTGCATAGTATTCCATTATGTGAATATACCAGAGCTTCTCTATCCATTTGTTTGTTGATGGGCACCTGGGTTGTTTCCAGCTCTTTGCTATTGCAAACAAAATGGCAATAAACATGGGTGTGCATATATCTGCGTGGGTGACAGTTATGGTTTCTTTGGGGTAAATTCCCAGTAGTGTAATTGTTGGGTCAAATGGTATTTCTATTTCCAACTTTTTGAGAAAGCGCTATACAGCCTTCCATAGTAGTTACACCAACCTCTCAGGTTTTAAACTAAAAACTCATGGCCATTGATTTGGAACTGACTCCTAGCGGCCCCTGCAGTGGGTTTCTGAGGCTGTCAGTTACATGGAAGGACTCTATGCATCTTCCTCCTGCAGAGCTACTAGTGGATTCAAACTGCCAGAGAGATATGTGGTCTTTGGGTTGGCAGCACAACTCCCTAATGACTACACCATCAGAACCTCCCTTATCCTCAGATTGAAGATTGTATTAATATGGAGGTTGTAGCCCAGAGGAACTTACACATGAGCGGTGCTCAGAGAAGGCTCCCGGGGTCGAGTGGGAGGGACCCCTGAGTGCTCTCTCTTCTCCCTCACCCTGGCCGTGAGAGGTCCTGGGAATGGGCAGACACTGTGACCTCTCTCCCCACTTGCTCCCCAGAGCTTCAATTCCATGTTCTCGGGCCGCTTGTCCCGGAAGTCAGCCTCAAGCGCAGACGACAGGGACGGTACCATGGCGGACGGCGAGGAGTACCGGAACCCCACGGAGGTGCAGATGAGTCAGCTGGTGCTGCCCTGCCACACCAACCATCGCGGCGAGCTGAGCGTCGGGCAGCTGCTCAAGTGGATCGACACCACAGCCTGCCTGTCTGGTGAGGCTTCGCCCATTCTCTGACCCTCAGACCCTGACTGAGGGTAGGGGGGCTGTTGGTTGTCATCAAGTTTCCTCCAACTTATTGAGACCCTAGAGGACAAAGGAGAATTGCCCATTAGGGTTTTTGAGGCCTCTGTCTGTGCTGGAGCAGGACTTACCAGGTCTGCTGGGTGGATTTAAACCTCTGACCTTTTAATAGCCCATTGTTTAACCAACCACTGGACCATTAAACTTTCGAGACCCAGAGGAGAGGTCTCTATTTTAAAGGTGATCACTGCTGTCCCAGAGTGCCACGTTCTCCTTGTCTGCCTTTGTCCTTGCTGGTTCACCTTGCATGAAACATCCTCAGTGCTCAGCTCAGGACCTGCCTCTCTCTCTAATATCCCTCAACTCTTGGGCCCCTGCTCCAGCACAGCGCAGCCTCGAACGTGGCTGCATCAGGTTTGCCTTGAAAGTGTTCTGAGCAAAGACCAGGCCGTTCTGCCATGTTGCACTCCGTAGATTGAGCCGGATTAAGTACTTTCATTCCTTCTGTTGCACCAGCCTTCACCAGCCTGCGGGGAGGTCACAGTCTGGCAGGGAGATAGATGGACAAGTGACCCAACTCCATTCCAGAATTGTTTGATGGGATCTGGGCTGGGGTGCAGCAATGAGAACAGACTAGAGGTTTCGACCTCGCCTTGGGCAGGGGAGGGTCCCAAGAGGCACTTCAATGGGTCTTGTCGAGGGGGATAATGGCTTGGTTAAGAGAATGAATATGGGAGAAATTGACTGGGCAGAGGTGGGAAGTAGGGTCATCCACTCATTCAACAGCTACTTATTGTCCACTATGTGCTAGTTCCTATTCCAGAGATGAGGGTACAGAAGTGACCAAGGCAGGCAACAAACAGTCTTCATTCACATGTAACTTAGAGTCTAGTAGAACAGTAAGCAGACAAAATCCAGATATGTTGTATAGAGTGGATGAGAAGGCTCCGCCTGAGCTCAGGTAGTCAAAGGAACATCTCAAGGTGGGAGAGATCCTCCAGGTAGGCCACTAACATATGGCTTTCTTCTCCTCGTACCAGCGGAAAGGCATGCCGGCTGCCCCTGTGTCACAGCCTCGATGGACGACATCTATTTTGAGCACACCATTAGGTAAGTGACCTCCTGGTCCTCTGGACTCCTTTCAAGGAACCCAGAGACTGATCTTGCATCTCCTGACTGGTCAGCCCAGGGGCTGCTGGACCCCTTATTACACTGACCAAGGGTGCATAGAGCTAGGCAACCTCTAGGGGGTGATGCCCATCTGCAAAGGCTGGGAGAGTGGCAGGCTGGGAGCTGGCCTGCTGCCAGGTGGTGTGGGGTCGGTTCCCTCGGCCAGGGTGGGGGGCAAGGAAGGGGCTTCAGATTTGCAGTTGAATGTTGCTAAGATAGTGCCATTAGTGTGCTGTGTGACTTTGGAAAAATCAGCATCTGCCTCTGGACCTTAATTGTTTACCTGGAAAACAGAAGGAATTGGATTTAACCATTGAATGACTTTTAGCTCATTCTCCATGGGTCTCTGGACTGTAGGAAAGCCCCTAGAAAAGGATCCTGTCTAATACCTGAGCTAGAGGCTTGAGCTGTTAGACCTCAGTTTACTCACCCCCAAGAATGAGGAACTCACTACTTCACAAGGTAAACTTTGAAGTCTCCTATTGCACTGCTCACCATTCCCCATCCTGCTTCTGGGACCCAAAGAGCGTGTGAAATCTTCACTCTGAGCAGGACAGCATGCTGCACTTTGGTTCGAAACCTGCCCCTGAATTCACCATCAATACCTCAGACATCAAATATCAAAGAGTTATTCAGGACAGTCCATGTACTCAGGGCACCACGGTCATGGAAGAGGTCTAGCCAGTCCTGTATTAATTTATTCAGTCATTCACTTAGTACTTACTCAGTTATTTAGATTAAAACTGCTGCTCAGTATGGCGAGTACCTGCTCTGACCTGGGCCCAGTGCGGATGTTGGGCGCATACTTAACCAGAGCACAATCTGTTTCCATGGAGCCCCAGTCTGCAAGGGGCAGTGGTATACACAGAATTTTAGTGTACAGCACTCAGCCCCTTGCTAATGATGCTCTCTGGAAGTGAGGTGCTTTGCCATCATTTCTTTCAAAAGAAATGTTTTCTTTTTAAGGAGTTGAGATTTACAGGAGAGTTAGGAAGAAAAGACTGTGAATTCCCATGTACAGCCTTAGTTTCCCTCCTATTGACAGATTACATTAACCTGGTGTATTTGTCACAGTCAGCCAACTGATGTCTCGTTTATAATGTTTTCAAAGATACATTAATTTCTTCCGTCTTTCCTGAGCTCCTGTGGGGTGGCCTGGTCTGGAACTATTTGCCTTGTTAACCTGTTGTTGTTGTTGTGTACCATAGAGTCAGAACCGACCCGTAGCTGACCCTCCAGAGGGTTTTCAGAGTCAGTTAATCACTTAGGAGATTACCCAGCCTTCTCCTGCAGAGCAGCTGGTGGCCTTGAACCACGTGCTTTTGAGACTGCAGTGCAACTTCTTGCCATTAGGACACCAGAGCTCCCATCTGTTAACCTTGTTGTTTTTGTGTACCGTCAAGTCAGAACCGACCCATAGCTGACCCTCCAGCGGGTTTTCAGAGGCAGTTAATCGCACAGGAGGAGATTGCCCATCTTTCTCCTATGAAGCAGCTGGTGGCCTTGAACCGTGTGCCTTGGGGATGGTAGCACAGCTCCTTGCCACTAGGCCACCAGAGCTCCCTGTTAACCTAAAAGCTGCTTATTTCCCATGGTTTGAATCCACCAGTGTGGAAGAAAGATGGGCAGTCTCTTTCTATTATGACTTATAGCCTCAGAAACTTGACAGCAGCGAGTTTGAGGGTTCTGTTTTATTTTAAATATTCAGTCTTTAGAACAGCCCTGTAAATCGTGGTAGCCTCATTTTACAGATGAGGAAATGAGGCTCAGAGAAGTGATGTAATTAGGTTAAGGTCACACAGCTAATGGGTATATTCAAGATATACTGTCAGAGACCTTGCACCCTACCTCTCTTATGTCTGCTATGGTTGCAATAACACATAGGGTAGGTAGTCTGGGGAGGCTGCCTGGAGGAGGTGCTTGAGCTGCTTGCAGTACTGTCAGCACTCTTAAGCAGCAACCCTCTGAAGGTCAGCAGAGTTGTATCTCATGAGCTTGGGGTTCCTGCTGCTACCACAGATTCTGGTACTTAATGGAGCTCAGAGTACAGAGGGCTGAGTGTATGCATAATGGATAGACCTGCCACAGGTCCTGGTTGGATGAGAGTCTGGAGAGAGATGGTACCTACAGTGAGGAAAGCCACAGAGGATCCTGGTAAAGTGAGCGAGGGCCTAGCGTGTGACTTGTGGCCACGAAGGCCAGATCTCACCTGAGAAAAGCAAGGGAGAATTATTTCGTTTGTTTGTTTTTGCTTTTGCCACTTAAATTATTTCAGAATGTATCACTAAGAGATCAATACTCTTTTTAAACCTAACTTTAACCCAGTATATCTAGGGAAATGAATAATTCCCCACTAACATCAAATATCCACTGTCCAAATGCCTGCACCTGTCTCATGATTTTTTTCTGAGTATAATGTTATTATTTATTGGTTTAAAAAAATATCTTACTGTTTGAGGTAGCACTTAGGTGTCCCCCTCACAATGTTTATAGCTATTGTTTCCTGACATTGGCTACAGTTTTCACAGTGTGTTACTATTCTCATCATTCCTATTCTGTTTGTTCTGCTTCATCAGTGGAGTTTCTTGCCCCCTTATCTTCTCATCTTTGCTTTTGGGTAAATGCTGACCATTTGGTCTCATGTAACTGGTAGGTTAAAGGAGTGCATTATTTAAAGGGGACATTGTTTATTTCAGCCAGTTATTCAGTGACTTCAGATTCAAGTTCAGAGGCTGTTTTAGGGTGGTAATCTCCACTTGAGTTGCTCCAGGAAAGCTGAGCATTTTTAGGCATTTGGATTTTGTTCTACATTTTTATCCTGTTCTCTCTGGGATATTTTACGGTGAATAGTTGGTAGTCGTGCTTGGACACCATTTTGTTCTGCTGGTCTCAGATTAAAGACGGGTTTCCGTGGAATGTCTAGTTTCTTCTTTGGGTCTTTGGATTTCTTAATTCTCTTTTGCAGGCTCCAACTAAAATTGCAATTGATTAACATGTCTCTCAAGTATCCAAACAGAGAAGGGAACACAACCTAGCTTAAAATCAGGAAAAGTGTGTGCCAGGGCTGTATTCTTTTTTCGTACTTATTCAGACCATACGCTGGGCAAATCATTTGAGAAGTTGGACAGTAAAGAAGAATGTGATAACAGAATTGGAGGAAGACTCATCAACAACATGCTCCACATAGAGATACAATCCGGCTTACTGAAAGTGAAGAGAACTTGAAGCACTTGCTACAGAAGAGAAAAGAAACAGCCTTCAATATGAATTGCATCTCATTGTTGAGAAAGCAAAAATTCTCACTACTGGACCAGTAGGCAACACTGTGATAGATGGAGAAAAGTTTGAAGCTGTCAATAACTTCATCTTACTTAGATCCACAATCAGCCCCTTTGGTACCAGCAGTTAGGAGATCAGGAGACATATGGCTTTGGGAAAGTCTGCAGTCAGGGACCTCTTCAAAGTACTGAAGAGCAATGATGTCCGTTTGAGGGCTAAGGTGAACCTGAATGAGACCATAGTCTTTTCAATAAGTTTCTATGCATCTGAGAATTAAACAATGAATAAGGATGACTAAGGAAGAATTGATGCCTTTGAGCTGGGGTATTGGAGAAGAGTACTGAATATCCCACAGACTTCCAGAAGAACAAACAGAAATGTCTAGGAGAACGTATAACCAGAGTGCTCCTTGGAGCAAAGATGACAACGCTTTGTCTCACATATTTGGACGAGTTGTTGTTGTTAGATGCTGTCAAGTTGAATATGACTCTTAGCGATCCAGTGGACGGACACCCAACTGAATCCTGTCCTATCCTGTGCCATCCTCATCATCTCTGATACACGGGAGCCTGTTGCTGCAGTCACCACGTCAATCCACCTCATTGGGGTCTTCCTCTCTTTTGTTGATTCACCACCTTTCTAAGCATGATATCCTTTTCCAAGGAATAGCCTTTTCTAGCAACATGTCCAAAATATGAAAGATGAAGCTTCACCATCCTTGCCTCCAAGGAGCACTCTGGTTGCACACTTTGAAAGGCGAGGAGTCAGTCAGAAAGAGGAGACCCTCAACAGGATGGACTGACACAGTGACTGCTGAAGTAGGTTCAAGGATGTCAGAAATGATGGAGATGACACAGAACAGGATAGGATTAAAGTCTGTTACTCGTAGGGTCTTATAACTCGATGGCACCTAATAACAGCAACAAATAGGCTCTTCTCCCCACCCATCTCTCTCTATCTTACTTCTTTGTCCTTGAAGTTTATTTGTTTAGAAAATTTTGTTATTACCCATAAAGTTCTTCTTCATCTGGATCTTGCTATTGGCATTTCTGTAGTGTCATTTAACATGTTCTGTTCTCTAGAGAGCTTTGACAAGGAGTTGCGCTGCCAATCTCAAGGCACACAGTTCAAATCCTCTAGCTGTTCCTTGGGAGAAAGATGGGCAGTCTTTCCTCATGTGATTAAGTCTCTGAAAACCTGCTGCAGGATTAGGAAGGGACCTCTCCCAGGTATGTGGAAGGGGCTGGGCTCTGGCCACCTCTAGGACTTTCTTATCAAGGCCAAGGTGAACTGTCCCTTCAGCCTAATAGGCTTTCCAGACTGCTCAGTTCCCGTGGTTCCCTGCTTTTCTCTCTCTGCATAGAACATTTTGTTATTTGAAGAACTCAGCACTGTGTTCTCTGTATTCATGAGCCAAGACAGAGAGGAGAAACAATTGTTCAATGTCACATGATGATTGAATGGGGTGCCGTTCCCCAGCCTCCAGCCACTTCCCCACCGTTCCATTAGCTGGGCCCCTCCGCACGCTTGTTAGGCACAGGGCAGGCTAGCTGGCTCCCCTGGGGGTTCCAATTGTTTGTCTCGACTTGGGAACCGTTCCAGAGGCATAGGCTACAGCTAGAAAGAGCAAGACTGGTGCATTCTGGAGTCCAAACTCTGTCACTTTTTGCTGGATGACCTTGGACAGTTTAACTTCTCTGATGCTTAATCTACCCTTAACCTACCTGCCAAATTTTGAGGCTCAAATAAGGTAGTATACAGTGTCTGGCACATAGTAGGCATTCTTTAAATGTTTCCCCCCTCCTCACCTTTTCTCATATATAGCATAACCCCTTATACTTAGCAGACGTTCAATAAGTGTGGATGCCATTTCTCAGCCACTATTTTATGAGGCCTCGCCCCGTGCTAGGTGTTAGTCCTTGAAGGGTCAATGGGGACCAAAACAGATGTGACTCTTGTCCCAGAGGCACTTCAGGACTGTGAGAGGAACAGGTCAGTTGCGGTACTGGAGCACAGGGTTGGGGTCTGACCAAGCAGGGCGGGCTTCTCTGAGGAGGTGATCACTGAGCCAAGAGCAAAAATCAGCTTGATCATGAACTGGACAAAGGGAATAGTAAGAAGGATGTGAACTCCATCACTCCTTCCAGCTTCAGCTTCCCCACCTGTACTATGAGGCACTGGCTTGGAGGACTGGGTGGCTTCACAGATGTGAATCTGCACTGCAGGCCGTGAGGTTCTCCTGCCAGTCCCCCTAGCAGAGCCCCCAGCCCCCACATTGTGCCCTCTGAAAGGCTCACCAACTGCTTTTTTCTCCCCAGTGTTGGTCAAGTGGTGAATATCAAGGCCAAGGTGAACCGGGCCTTCAACAGCAGCATGGAGGTGTGTGGGGCAGCACTGCCTGAGTGTGTATGTGTGTGAGCACATGTGTGTGTGAGCACGTGTGTGTGTGTGTTTTCTCCCCTTTTTCCAGCCCAGGAGCACTCCCACTTGTCAGCTGGAAGATGACTGAGTTCTGAAATAAATGTCAGAGCTGAAAGGATCTTAGGGATCTTTATATCTAACCTCCCATAACACAGATGGGGAAAATGAGCCCTAGTGAGGAGAAAGTACTTTCCTCAGGTCACCAAGCCATGTAGATTCCAATGTGGGACCTGATTTTCAATCACTTGATTCTCTCTTTAGGACTCAGTGCTCTTTCCCCATACCCCTCAGTTTTGCCTCAAAGGCCAAGTGGTCCCAGAAATAGAGGGAAGACTACTGTGTCTGGCGCTAGAGACAGCAGAGCCGTGAGAGCATTATGCTTGGGTTCTGGCCTATAAGCTGGCTTCCCACAGCCTCTCTTTCCTTATCTGTAAAATGGAGAAATAATTCCTATGTTACCTGATTGTTGCAGAGTTAACGGGAGGACTATCCGAGGATTCACAGGGTTCTGTGAGCCTCAGAGAGGAACTTTAGTGGACTTGAGGGCAACTTCTCGCAGCCAGGCCAGTGGTTCCCAAAGACGACAGAGTCTAGATTGTGCCTTTGAGGGCACTATAAATTTCACATTTGTCTTCTGGGACAGTAATGAGTCTGACCTTTCTGTTTTGCTATCACTATCTGCTTTATAGTTCCTGGTTAGTACACACGGTTAAGCACTCAGGTACTAAAACTAAAAGGTTGGATATTCTAATCTACTCAGAGCCATTGTGGAAGAAAGGTCTGGCTTCTGAAATATCACAGCCATTGAAAACCAATGGAACATAGCTCTGCTCTGAAATACATGGGGCCACCTTGAGTAGGAATGTGCCTGGTAGCATCTGATTTATCTACCTTAAAACCCCTTTCCTCCTCATTTTAATCTTGTCCATTGTCCTGGGTGGGTTGGCACAATCACTCCCATTTTATAGATGAGGAAACTGAGGCCCAGAGAAAAGGGAAGTGACTTGGCCTGGGAGTTGGTGGGCAGAACAAGGCCCTGCTCTAGATTTTCTAGCCTCAACAACTGAGACATAAATATGGTGACCTGGCCTGGGATGGGACTTCCTGCCCCATTAAGCTTTGGGGTGTTAGTTGGTGATCCCTGTCTTCTGCTTCACACCTGCTGCGACACCCTGCCTCTCCAGGTAGGCATCCAGGTGGCTTCTGAGGACCTGTGCTCCGAGAAGCAGTGGAGTGTGTGCAAGGCCCTGGCCACCTTTGTGGCCCACCGGGAGCTCTCCAAGGTAGGCAGTGGCAGCTGACAGCTGACAGCTGGAGTTAGATTGAAAATCTTTCTGTTTGTCTGGTGGTGGTTGTATTGTAAGAGGGGAGCTGGACTAGGAGAAGGAGGCTGAGAGTTGAGAAGAAGGGCTGAAGAGGGGGCTCATCTGGAAATACAGGCCCTGAGGAAGGCCCACCCATACTGTGCTCCAACCCTGGCAGCCTTCCCTCTTCTCCTTTCCTCACCAGTCACTGCTCATCCCATATGAGATTCTTCAATCTTTCTACTCCTGTAGCCTCTGTGTCGTTGACTAGGGAGGAGCCTATTTTGAAGGATGAACGTGACGTATCATGTCAGCATGAGGGCCGGGATGGGAATGTGAACAAGCAGCAGCTCTGGTCGACTGTGTGCCAGTCAGACGGGACACACGGGCAGAGCAGCGCCTTCAGGCCTTTTCCCCTGAGTCCTTACTACCCTGTCTGCTGGCTGGCAGGTGAAGCTGAAGCAGACGACGCCTCGGACAGAGGAGGAGAAGACCGAGCACAGCGTGGCAGCTGAGCGCCGGCGCATGCGGCTGGTCTACGCGGACACCATCAAGGACCTGCTGGCCAACTTCACCATTAAAGATGGTGAGCAGCTGCTTTGGGCCTCACTGGACAGAGGGAGGGAAGGGTCTCCATGGGTGGCCACTCACTGGTGGCCTCAGGCCTGCCTGAACCTTTTGGCTTCCAGATTCCTTCTAGAAAAAGGGAGTTAACACTTATGGAGAGTCTTTTGTTATGAACAAAACACATTTGCGTTTCCAGAAGCCAGGCAGGGTATTTGGGAAGATTGTATTCAGCCAGGCCTTGAGGTCCAGTCATATCAATTCAACTCACTGCTATCAAGTCGGCACTGGAAACTCATAGCTGACCCTCCATCAGGTTCTTAGGGGCTGTAAATTGCATGGGAGGAGATTCCCCTTCTTTCTCCTGCAGCGTAACTGGTGGATTCAAACCACATCCTTTGGGTTAGCCATGCGACTCTTTACCACTAAGCTGCCAGAGCCCTCTATACTTATATGTTGTTGTGTGCTGTGGAGTCGGAGCCAACTCACAGCTGGCCCTCCTGTGGGTCTTCCCAGGTAGTAACTCACACAGGAGGAGACTGCCCATCCTTCGCCCGTGGAGCAGCTGGTGGATATATTTTTAAAATATAGAATAAGAGAAAGCTGAAGATCCAATATGGAACCATGGATTGAGGATTCAGAAATATAAAGAAATTATCATCTTTGAGATCTAAAAAAAAAAAAAATTAAAAAGAAAAAGTATGGAATAAAAAAGCAAGACTCTTTCCTACTCCAGTATACAGGCACCTTCTACTGTTACCTAGCTTTTCAGACGAATCCTCTCCATGTTTAAGTCATGAGTATGATACTTAGGGGAGCTTTGATGGCCTAGTGGGTAAAGAGTTGTGCTGCCAACCCAAAGGCAGATAGTTCGAATCCACCAACTGCTTTGCAGGAGAAAAATGAATAGTCTCTTCCTGTGTGATTCACAGCCTCCGAAAACCTCCTGGAGTTAGTTTTGACTTGATGACACACAACAACAACAACAACAACATTATATTACTTAGTTGTGTGCCATTGGTTAGAGCCTAGCTCACAGAACCCCTAGATAACAGACTTAGCATGGCCCCCTAGGGTTTCAGAGCTTTAATCTGTACAGGAGCAGATTGCCAGATCTTTTCTCCTGTGGATGGTTTTGAACAGCTGACCTCTCAGGTAGGAGTTGAATGCTTTCATTTTGCCACCTGACTCTTTTAGCTTTTTCTTCTTTTTATTTTTAACCCTATTTTATTGGTTGAATTTTTGATGAAAGTTTGCATAGCCAATTAGGTTCCCATTTGACAATTTCCGCCTGTTATTTGTTGACATTAGTTACATTTATCACAGTGTGTCAATATTCTCTTGAACTGTGCTCAGTTCCCTTTCCAGTACTCTGGTCTCCCATTTCATCTCATCTCTGCTTTTGCGTAATTGTTCGTCTTTTGGTCTCATATTGATGGTGTTTAAGTAGCTTAGTCCTCTATACCCCAATGGACACATATGTTGCAGTCTATGCCACCTCTTAAAAACATATCAATACACAGACAGAGGAAGGGTATCCCTGATTTGGGGGACATGGGAGGTGAAGGCTCAAAGGGGTGACATTCAGTTTGTTTACCAGTCTCCAGAATGTTGGAATGCTGGGTCTTTCCTGAAAATTAACAGCAGGCAACTTAAGATGCAATAAAGTGGGTCAGCTTCCCAGAGCACAGAGAGAGTTGAGCACTTTGACCTGTGCAAGTGACTTGCTTCCTTCCACATTCATGTGTGGGTTCATGCTGGGGCTGGAGGCCAGGCAGGATGGCCGGCTCTCAATCAACCCTCGCTGAGGCCTCCTTGGGTCCACCCATTTCACTGTTGCCTCCAGGTTAGCCTCTCCTCACAGCCTTTCTGCAGCCCCCATGCCTCAGCCTGGTACTCAGTGCCCTCTGCTGATCACTCAGCTCTTCTCTGCTGTCCCTGTCCTTGCCTCTGAGTCCAGCTAAGCCAAAGGTTTTGCTGCTTCCTGTGCCCAGGCCTTGGCTCAGGCCACCTCAACCTTTCCTCTTGTGACATCCTGAGTGGCCTTTAAGTCAAGCAAAATGCCACCTCTGTGATGGGCCCTACTCCCCTGACCTTCAAGACTTTGTCACTCTCTGACCTCACTTACTGAAGATATTTTAATGCCATTGCCCTCAGGAACAGGGCAGACTCAGGGCAGAAGTGGAAGGAGAGAATATCCTTTCTAAGAGTGTGTCTAGTACACTGTAACTGTGATCATACTTCATCTTCAAACAGTCCTATTGGGATGGGTTTGACAGCCACCTTTTACAGGTGAAGAAATTTAGTTTGGAGAGATTGCCACCTTGCCTGAGGTCACACAGCCTCTATGGGGTGGAGGCTGAGGTTCTTATTCAAGCGTGTCTTTTCTTCAAAACTGGTGTCCTGTCCACCTCCCAGAGACATTTGTTATTAGCTGCCACCAGTTTGGCCCCTGACCCCAGTGCAAACCCATGTGAATATACACTTAGTGTTGAATAAATGACAGTGTGGGTTGGGAGCAGGAGCTCCTGCTGGGAACTTTCTCCCAGGTGCCTGCATCCCTCTTCTTGTCCACTTCGCTGGTCAGATCTGGAGAGCAGGGACTGTAGCAACATGGTGCCCGCTGAGAAGACCCGTGTGGAGAGTGTGGAGCTGGTCCTGCCCCCCCATGCCAATCACCAGGGCAACACCTTCGGGGGCCAGATCATGGCCTGGATGGAGAACGTGGCCACCATTGCTGCCAGGTGAGAGGAAAGCACCCTGTCCCTCCCTCTGCACTTCCCCCCACACATCCCCCCCCCTTTCCCTCTACCTTTCTGGAAGAAAACTCAACCTGGTGCTGATTTTTGATGCTTTGGCATCTTGACTGTTATTGGCGTAATACAAGGCTTTTGGACCCAGAGAAAAATGATGCTCTGTGGGCTGACACTTTTATGTGTGGTCCCAGGGCCTCCCCCTTATCTGGCCCTGCTTGCTCTCTTCCTTGCATGCTGGGCTCCTGTCAGAGCAAGCTGTTGGCCTTCCCCTTCCACTTTCCCTGGTCCTGCCCCCAGCCTTTGTCCTGATATAAAGTCCCACCATAATATCCCCCACTCATCTGTTCTGCTAAAATTCTACCCACCTCCTCCATATAGCCTTCTCTGGTGGTTCTCTTCTTTCTACAATGAAAAAAAATTCCTTCTTTCTATATGCTTTTGAGTATTTATAGATTTGTTCCACACCTAGTATCAGAGTTGTCTATTTGGGTTTCTTTGTTTGTTTTTAATACTTTGATGACTACTGTCGCTGAGTGATATTCTCATACCTCCATCCTATAGTCAGATTTGACATCCTTTAGAATCTAGCTCAGATGGTCTTCTCTGTGCCCTGCTTGTGTGAGACAGTACATAGTAATGATTTTAGGGAGCGCATTACAAGTGTTAGGAGAGCTCAGAGAAGCACGAGAGCCTAGATGGCCAGGGAGGACTTCCTGGAGGAGAGGCCTTGAACCTGGCCTTGAATGACACGTAGCAAGGGCTTCCATATAGTGAGAACAGCAGATGCTAAAAAGTAAAGTTTGGAAAGAAAATAGGCAGGGGGTTTAGTCCAAGGTTTCTTCTATCTGCCTAAATCTGCACCTTTCTAGCCATGCACACAGACCCAAGTGTTCTGACTGTGAAATGAGACAGTTCTGTTCTATAGCCGGCACTGTCATTGGGCTGGGTGGGAGCCAGTGGGCCAGAGGGCAGTCCTTGTGGTCCCAGGCCAGGTCTGAGGCTGGAAGTAGGTGAAGGAAGCTGGCCCAAGCCAGTGACTGACATACCTGGGCATTCCTTCTGGCTTGTCCCGGCCTCCCTCCAGCCGCCTGTGTCGTGGTCACCCAACATTGAAGGCCATCGAGATGTTCCACTTCCGGGGCCCATCCCAGGTTGGGGATCGCCTGGTGCTCAAGGCCATCGTGAACAATGCCTTCAAGCATAGGTAAGGGGCTGGGATGGATGGGATTGAGGTCCCCGGAGGAGAAGACTTGTCCTAGAATGAGAAGGGACCCCACTCGGAGCCTACCATGCTGCAGACAAGGTCTGAACCACTCCCTGGCTGTGGAGTCCCTCCACCATCACTAAGATTTAGGCCCCCAGTGCTGTGCCCTGATCTGGCATGCTGTGGGGCCCACATGGGTGCTCTGCCACTTAGCTAGCCTTCCTTGCCTGTTTCTCAGCATGACTGTCTCCTTAGCCCAAGCTTTGGCATGAATTCTGGTCTCCACTCTCATGAAGGTTTACTTTAAATACATGGCTTTCTTGGTGATTTTAAAGGTCATACTGTAGTCATTAAAAGTAAAAGCTCTGGAATCAGCCTTTCTGGGTTCAGATTTTGGCTCCAGCTTTCACTGGCTGTGTGACCCTGGGCAGGTTACTAAACTCCTCTGAACTTCAGCTCTTTTGTCTGTGAAGTGGGACTCTTCATAGTGCTCTCCTACTGTGAGGATTCAGTGAGATATGACTAGCAGAAAGCCAGAGAAAATGTTGAGGTAGGGAGGGCCACTGCCACTGCTGTCACCATCATTGCCGGCATCATTACCCACTGTGTGACCAGCACACATTCTGCTGCCCTGCATGTGTCCAAGCCTAAACTCGGAGCCCTGGGGCCTGGTTTCAAGTCCAAGGTCTCCTCCTGACTTGTTATGTTACCTTGGGCAAGACTCTGTCCCATCCCAAGCCATGAGCTTCCTGTTTATATAATGTGTACATTGTGAGATTACAGCATCTCCTAATCTAGAAGCAATGTGGTGGCTGCTGTTATTAAATTAATTAAGACAGTAAGATATGCATGAACAGCGGCAACTGAGCTGCCAGGAGCCCGGCTGGTACAGCTGTGAGTGGTGGGTGATGAAGCTTCTTTGTAATTAAGTTCTCCACACTCCTACCTCTCTGCTAATTTCCTTTCATAACCCTCTGCAGTTCATAATTACATATTTATATGTATTTGTTTGTGCCATCCCCTAGCTGTGAGTCTGCAAAGGTGTGGACCGGAAAGGTCTTTTCATTTGTATGTCCCCAGTATTGACTGACAGGGTCCCTGGGTAGTACAAATGGTTGATGTGCTCAGCAGCTGGCTGAGAGGTTGGAGGTTCTAGTCTACCCTGTGATGCCTAGGAAGAGAGACTTGGCTATCTCCAGCCATTGAAAACCCTATGGAGCACAGGTCTAGTCCGACACATGTGGGCTCACCATGAGTTGGAGTCAACTCAATGACAAAAGAAAAGAGTCATCACCCCAGAGAGCAGGACTGTGCTCTGAGTTGCTGGAGTAACTGCAGGGAGGTGGATGTTGAGCGAGTGCAGGGAGAGGAGACAGGGCCTCCAGAAGGTCTGTCCAGCCTGGCGGCAGTCCTTCCCTTGCTCTCAGCATGGAGGTGGGTGTGTGCGTGGAGGCCTACCGCCAGGGGGACGAGCACCAGCGGCGACACATCAACAGTGCCTTCATGACCTTCGTGGTCCTGGACGCAGATGATCAACCCCAGACGCTGCCATGGATTCGGCCCCAGCCCGGGGTAAGTGAGACCGGTGGCCATCTCTGCTCAGGGCTTGTGAAAGGGGAGTGGGGGCCCCAGCTCTGTCCCTTCTCTCAGTACTCTGGTTGAGACCCCGTGATGCCCCTGGTGCAGGTCAGGCACCTTGTTCTACTTGGAAGAACTCGGTGGCCCTGGCTCAGCGCTGGGTGGCAACGGCCGTTCACGTGGGGCGAGAAGAGCACAATCTCTGCAGTCAGGCTGCTTCCACGTTCCAGCAGGTCCTCACCCATACAGTGGGCGTGTGGACACTCCTACCTCGCAGGGCTCTTGGGGTGACCTGTGATACTGACCACAGGGCTTAGCCCTGTGCCTGGTCACTCCTGGAAGCACTCGAGGGTAACCAGAGAGCAGAGAGCACTGGGACCAGAGTCGCGGGCTGGACTAGAGGCTGTCTTTCCCCCTTGTGCCTCCTGTGTGCCAGGCCTGGGATGTGATCTGGATCCGCAGGCTTTGACCTTGGAGACGTCACTCCCTCTCTTTGGGAAGGGCACTGCCCTGCTGCCCCTTTCACAGTACTAAGTATGGGCTGTGCCACGCCCATGCCTCTGTGGCTGGAAGTTGGGCAGCCACAGTGCTGGGTGGAGGTGGTTGGTGGGCACTGTCATTTTACAAGTTGCTTTTCATAACTGTGACTCAACAGAGTGCGGAAATTTTCTAACAGTATTACTAATATCACATGCAAACAAGATCCTGCTGAAGATTACCCAAAAATGACTGGAACAGTACGTCAGCAGAGAACTTTCAGATTGTGCAAACTGGGTTTAGAAGAAGCCATGGCACTAGCGACATTATCGCCAATGACAAATGGATCTTGACTCTAAGCAAAGAGTACCAGAGGAAAGTCTATCTGTGTTTCATTGACTATGCAAAGGTAATTGTGTGGATCACAACATATTATGGTTAACCTTGAGAAGAATAAGGATCCCAGAACACTTAATTGTGCTCATGTGAAACCTATACTTGGACCAAGAAGCAGTCAATAGTCAGAACAGAGCAGGGAAACACTGCATGGTTCAGGATCAGGAAAGGTGTGCATCAGGGATGCATCCTATCGCCATAGCTTTTCAATCTTTTCAATGGCAGTAAGACTGGAGGAATACTTATCAAGAACCTGTGTTATGCAGATGATACAACCTTGCTTGCTGAAACTGAGGAGGACATGAGACATTTGCTGTAGAAGGTCAAGGACTGTAGTCTTTAATATGGATTGAAGCTCACCATCAAGAAAACAAAGATTCTCACCACTGGGCCAATTGACAGCTTCATGATAGATGGAGAAGAAATTGAGATTGTTAGCAACTTGAGCTTGCTTGGTTCCACAGTCAACACTCTTGGCACCAGCAGTCAGGAAATCAAAAGACAAATTGCATTGGGAAAGTCTACTGCTGGGAACCTCACTAGAGTACTGAAGAGCAATGATGTCAGTCTGGAGACTAAGATGTGCCTGATTCAGACCATGGTCTTCATAATTACTTGCTATGTATCAGAGAGCTGGACAATGACTAAGGATGATAGAAGAATCGATGCTGCTGTGTTGTAGTGCTGGATAAGTGTGTTGAACATACAGTGTACTACCAGGAGGAAAAACAGGTTTCTCTTGGAGAGATGAAACTAAGCTGCTCTCTGGAGGCAAGGATTTTGAAGTTGTGTCTCACATACTCTGGGCATGTGTCCAGGAGGGACCAGTCCTTGGAAAGGTGGAAGGGCAGCTCAGGAGAGGAAGACCCTGGATGAAATGGGTTGACTCAGTCACTGGAGAAATGGCATTAGGACTGTCAGAGGTGATGAGATTGGCTCAGGAGAGGTCAAGGTTCACAGCTAGTGTACATAGGGTTGCTATGATTCACGGGCGACTTGACAGTACATAACAACAAAGAGGAGGCAACATTCAAGGTGGTAGTTAAAAGGATGAGCTGTATTTGGGTTCTGATCCTGGCTCTGTCCCTTACTGCTGCTGTGACCTTGGGCAAGTCATGGCATCATTCCATGCCTCAGTTTCACCTCTGTAAAATAGAAATAGTGTTGTATTTTTATGCAAATAACATACATCTTCTCTGTGTGTTTACTAACCACTCCAGCCCCTGGGAGGTTTATTCACCAATTCTACTATGCCATTTTTTTTGGTGTTTGTTTTTTTTATGTGTTGCTGTAAAAAATTTGCATAGCATGTTTACAAAAATATCAGAGGGATAGGGAGAGAGCAACTTACAAAGTAGAAGGTGCTGTTATTTGTGTAAAAATATGGTAATAACACCGATGTTAGAGTGTTCTAAGGATTAGGAAGCCCTGGCTTGGCAGGCGCTCCACCATGCTGGTTCCTTGTCCACACTGTGGAGCTGAGCAGACAGGTCCAGTGAGGATGATGGGCATCCCCAAAGCCATGCTCAGCCTGAGTCTGCTCAGCTCTTGGGCATTTTCCTGACCAGGTTCATTTCCCTTTGACTGAGAGACCTGAGCCCTTCTGTCCTCCTAGGGCCCTGGCTTGTGGGGGTGTGGGGTGGGGAGACAGGCTGTTTGTCCTGCCTACACCGTGGTCTGTCCTCACTTGGCTCTTCAGGATGGTGAGCGGAGGTACCGAGAGGCCAGCGCCAGGAAGAAGATCCGCCTGGACAGGTGAGGGGAAGCTGGCTGTCAGGAGGGGCCGGGGGACTCTGTCTGCTCTCTGGGCCCAGGGCCCTCGCATTTCGTCAGCATGCCTCACATGGTCTAGACACCAGCCTCCATGTAGACGGGCTCTTGTTTTGGCCTCAGCATATGACAGTCTCACTGACCCCATTGTACAGGTGAGGACATTGAGGACTAAGCAGTTGAATGGCCTGTCCAAGACCACACAGATAGGAATGATGGGTGGAGTCAGGAATGGGGCCTGGTCAAGTCTGGCCAATTTGAAATCAGTGGTTTCCTGCTGACTCTGGTGTCCATTTGGCGGCTGAACAAAGGCTCGAGGAGGAGCTGCAGCCCGTTCAGGTGCAAGCTTAGGTGTGTCTGACTCTGCTGTCAAAGTACCTCACACACTTTGAAGTGCTGTGAACATGAAGACGTTCACAAAACTTTGCTTGTAATAATAAAAGTGTGCGTTTATGGAGCATGGTACAAGCTCCATTCTCTTCATGATAACTCATGATAGCCAGCTTTGACTAGGAGCCCATTCTAGAGATCAGAACACTGAAGAAAGGGGGGGAAATAACCTTAGCTAGGGAATCTCTGGATGATGTGAATGGTTAACACGCTTGGCTGTTAACCAAAAGGTTAGAGCCAAATCTGCTCAGAGGTGCCTTGGAAGTAAGGCCTGGAGATTGCTTTCCAAAATATCAGCCAGGGGGAGCACTGGTGACCTAATGGCAAGAAGCTGCACTGCAATCCTGAAATATTAGCCATTGGAAACCCTGCGGGGCACAGTTCTACCCTGACACACATGGGGACACGATGTGGCAGAGTCAACTCAATGGCTACAGATAGCCCTGGCCAGACTTGCTCAGCAAAGGTTTAAGGGAGCTGAGCTTTAAACCAGGCACCCTTCCTCCCTCTCTGCGCTCTCATCAAGCCTGAGTCTGCATGTTCTCTGGTCACTGCATCCACCCAGTCTCACCAGGCAGATACCTTCTGAGCTTGGTCCAGATCCTGGCACACAGTAGGTAAAGTCTATTGAAAGTGAGGGGGCTTTGAAGGGACTCAAGTTGTCTTCCTTTTTCCCCAGGAAGTACATCGTGTCCTGTAAACAGTCAGAGATGCCCCTGTCTGTCCCCTGGGACCCCAGCAACCAGGTAAGGTACACTGCCCAGAGGAGATATCCTTCAGGCTCAGGTGTTTTCCCCTACCTTCCCCTTCTTGTCAGATTGGGCTTGGGGTAGGCCTGAAGGGAACAGGGTCTTAGTGGGGACACTACTATTAAGTTAATAAGGACTTTCCTGGGCTCCCTGTTTGACAGGACAGAGTGACTTGTCCAGGGTCACACAGCTAGTCCAGCCAAGCCTGGACCTCCTTTCACAGAGCGAAGGGCTCTTTCATCATGGCCACACTAGCATGGCCTTGGCAATGGCCACTTAAGGAAGGAGAGGACAGCTTGTCTGTGTGTTCTGTCTAGGTGTACCTGAGCTACAACAACGTCTCCTCCCTGAAGATGCTTGTGGCCAAGGACAACTGGACATTGTCCTCAGAAATCAATCAAGTAACTGGCCTCTCTCATCTTTTCCTTCTCCTCTCTGCAGCTTCTGTCCTTCGCTTTTGTCAGAATGACTCCTCTTTGCACCTCCTGCATGATGGAGTCATTCTGGGGGTGAGGGACCAGTGAGGAAAGCTGGCTTAGAGAAGACCCAGTCCCCTACTGCTGACTTCCTGGGCTCTTGGGAAAGTCACTTTCTTTGTGACATTAGGGGTTGGATGCGCACTCAGCTTCAGGGATCAATTGCACGGTGGCTTCAGCTTCTGTAGGTACTTTCATATCTAGTCCTGCTTTCCTCCAAATCTTCATGGAGATGCCACTGAGACTCAGAGAGGGTGAGTCACTGGTCTACAGTAACACGGCAAGCCAGTGGCAGCCCTGAGCTTCCAGCCCTGAGTCCCAAGATCCCACCCAGCTCAGCCCAGCCCCCAGCACAGCCAGGGAAAGAGGCCAGGAACAAGGCTGTCCTTTGTCGGATGCAGGTGCGTCTGTATATCCTGGAAGATGACAAGTTCCTCTCCTTCCACGTGGAGATGGTGGTGCATGTGGAAGCAGCCCAGGCCTTCCAGCTGCTCTCGGACCTGCGCCAGAGGCCTGAATGGGACAAGCACTACCGGTAAGGGGCACCAGGGAGTAGATTGTGCACTTGAATTCAGGGATAGATGAGTGATTTTCACTGTTTGTGGAAAGTTTCCCCAGGCTGCCCAGGCACTGCTGGCAGATGGAGGCACTGAGAGTGTGGGCAGGGTCCCAGCACCCCTCCGAGATCATTGACAGAATGGCCACTTGACCGAACGGGCCAGATCTGCTGATTTTCCTTGTGGGTGTGTAACTTTGTGAGTGGGTCAGTGACTCTGACTGGAAATATGTTCTTCTTATGAGAACATTTGTTCCCCAAATTTACTAATTCCTCATGTCATTATTCTCTTGGACTTATTCAAGGAAGAAAAATATGCGTGGAGGAAAACAGCCAAAATTTCAATCATTAACATCGCAGTCTTCAAGTTTAAACAGATACTTTTTTCAAATTACTCTTAAAGGCCTTTTTTTTTTTTAAAATGCCAACACCCTTGCTTTTGGGGGTTCTTTGATCATTTCTTGAATGGCTGACTTATGAGGGGATTCTTTCCCATGAGGAGATTATCTTCCCAAGCACATCCATAAGGTGGATCTGAGAGCTGGAAAATTCAGTGAGCTGGTCATTTGACAAATTGGCTTTTGGCAAATTGGCCTCATCTTTCTTTCAACTGTCTTCAACAGCAGGCCCTCTTATAGCTAGCTGTATATACATGAGTTTTCTTTGCAAAAAGGGCTGTGTTGCTTTAAAAAGTTCTGGTCTAGGTGACCCTAGACTCCAGGAGGGGTGCAGTCTGGAAGCCTGAGAGGTGATGGGAGGATGGCTGTAAGGGGAGGAGTGCACGTAGAAGGATGATTTCTGAAGGAGGCAGGGCCATGAGGGCATTGCAGACCAAGGTCAGATCTTGTTGGTACTTGTTGAAGGTGACCTGAGGGGAAAGGAAACCCCAAGATGGGTGCCTCTCACCCCATGCAGCCTTCAAGGAATGGTTGAAGAGCAGGAGAAGGCATCTGGTCTAGACATGGCCATGTGTACGTGTGTGTGTGTGTGTGTGTGTGTGTGTGTACACGCACACACACTAGGATACACACCTCCCCTGTGCTCAGACCAGGAGTACAGCTCTCCATCCAACAGCCTGGACACTGGTCCTGGCTCTGTTTCCTTGCTGGCCTTGTGCCCACGGGCAGCTCAATTCCTGAGACTCAGTTTCTTCATCTAGAAAATGGGCATGTGGGAGCACTTGCTGCAGGAACTATTAGGTTAGACAGGAGGCACTGGAACAACACCCAGCATCCCGGACCCTCAGTGAATTGTAAGTGCCAGGACTGACTGTCACACATGTGCACAGGGCATGTGTCCCTGCGCAGACACGTGTGGATCTGTGTGTGTGCCCTTGCCCATGTGTGGGTCTGCACATGTGGACCCACTGCGGGCACGGGTCTGTCCACGTGCATGTGCATTTACGGTGTAGGTGCCTCTGCACCTCTCTCTGCATGTGCCCTCTTCTTGACTGGGACTTCTTGCCCTGCTACTGGTCTCTGCCTGAGCAAGGCAGGGGACAAAGTGTCAGCAAAGAAGCTACTCTGAGGGGCCAAAGCGTGGGAGGTACCTGCTGTACTGTAGGGGCTCAGTGCGTGGGGCCCTAAACTTGAGACCTCCCTGCAGGAGCGTGGAACTCGTGCAGCAGGTAGACGAGGATGATGTCATCTATCATGTCATCAGCTCCACCCTCCACAGTGATGCCAAGCCCCAGGACTTTGTGATCCTGGCCTCGAGGCGCAGACCCTGTGACCATGGGTGAGTGCCTGCCTGCTGTGGGATGCAGCAGGCTGGGAGGTGGACCTCGGCCCAGAGTTGGAGCTCTGCTTCTTTTGGCCCCAGGTATCAGATAACAAATGAGGGCTTGCTGAGCTGCTGTGGCCTCACTGTGGATAAATAGTGACAGGAAGCACTTGCCCCTGCTCTCCCTCGTCCTCTAAAACAGGGTAATCTCTGTCCCTGCATGTCCCATGGACAGAGCTTGTCTCAGGTGCCCACTGCTTAGCCTCTGTGCTGAAGGCGCATGCTGACTGGAGGGTAGCCAGCCTGCCTCTGTGCTAGGGGTGCAATGCTATTGCAGCTGTTGGAGACAATCCCCCAAACACAAAACTCCCTGAGCATCTGCAATGCAGGAGCCATTCCAGGACCTTCACTTCCAAGTCATACCTGGTGAAGTCAGGGCTGCTGGCCCACAGGCTCTGGGGCCAGGGTGTTGAGAGTTGTGTTTTAAGACCCTGGGGGACGACATCCTTGCCAGAGGGTGGACCTTAGAGCTTGAGGATGACAGGGCCAATCTTGACTTGGAAGCAATGAATTTTTATGGTTGATTTCTGTCCCTTCTTCCCTGTGTGCTGCTTAGGGACCCATATGTCATTGCTCTGAGGTCAGTCACACTGCCCACGCACCGCGAGACGCCGGACTACAAGCGTGGGGAGACCCTCTGCTCAGGCTTCTGCCTCTGGGACGAGGGAGACCAGCTGACCAAGGTGAGGCCTGCCCTCCCTCCTCTCCTACCGTAGGCCCGCTCTACCCCAGCACAGAGTCCTGAGCACTTGTGAGCTCAGGAGTTTTAGACCCAGTGCCCCTCTAGCCGGTGGAGGCTGGCAGCGCAAGGCCCAAAAAAGACCTTTTATGAAGACCTCAGCTTCGAAGAATGTAGCCAGAGATATGTCATGGCTTGGAGAAGGCCCTGGATGCCGAGGGCAGAAGGCCTGAGTTCTGTGTACGATTTCACCGCATTATTTATTTACATATATTCCCCAGGAAGGCTTTATGTGGCTCTGAGGATCCATAAGCTTTATATGGCTCTGCTGCTCTGTAAAACTCGGCAGGGCAGCCTGTGTTAATTGAAAATGTGGAGAAGAGGCTGAGAGATGAGAGTGAGGAGACCGCAGTTCCCCGTCTTCCACACAGAGCAGTTAGGCCCCTGCACACCAAGGTCCAGCACTGACATTCAGACAGAGGTTCAGCCATAAAAACCCACTAAACCGCTTGCTGTTTGAGTGGGTCAGTGGATTCCTGCTCATGAAGACCCCATACATGTCCTGTGCTTCACATGGTTTTCAGAGGCTGGGTGTTTTTTGAATAAGCTTGCCAGGCCTTTCTTCTGAGGTACCTGTGGGCAGACTCAAACCTCCAGCCTTTCTATTACAAGTGCATTAACCAAAGATGCCAGCAACACAGTCAGAGTTTGCTGCATGAATACACTTTAAATGTAGGTTCACATCTAATAGTGTGGTTTGTGTCTCAGTTGTCTCCACATGTCACAGAGCATTTAAATAGGATTCATTTAAATAGGATTCAGTGCTGGGTTCCAAAGGCAGTGTACATCCAGACCCTGCCCTTCAGTATGGTGGGTGGCAACAGGGGGAGGTCAGGGTTGTCGGCACCCTGAGGCGGGGACCCCTGGAGGAGGTTACACCTGCTAATCAAGCAACCTTCTCTCCAGTGGAGGTCCAGGCTGCTGGGGGTGAGCAGGGCGCCCCACCTGCCTCGTGCCCACTTGATTCCCACTGTCCCACTCTGGTTGCTGCCTGGCCCCTTGCTCAGCTCAGCCTGTCTGAGTGTGATGTCCTGTCCTGCAGGTCTCCTACTACAACCAGGCCACCACGGGCTTTCTCAACTACCTGACCACCAATGTGGCCGGCCTCTCCTCTGAGTTCTACACCACCTTCAAGGCTTGCGAGCAGTTCCTCTTGAACAACCGCAGCAACAATGACCTGGCCCCCAGTCTCCAGCCCCTCTAGGGAACTCAGGGCCCGTTTACTTCCATCTCATCCCAAGGACAAATGTGCAAAGCATGGACGAAGGTGGAACCATTTATTCCTCCCCGACCCCCTGCAATGAGCCCTGGGATCTGCCAACCCACCCTGCCCTGGACAGTCAGTTTCTGCCATTGTCTGCCAGCAACTCCTCTCGGAAATTCTGGGGCAGCCTGTAGTAGACTCGAGTTTTGTCCACAGCCCTGGCTGCCTGCAGCCCTGCCCGCACAGCTGCATTGCTACCCTTGGTGGGGCTGTGCGCCACTGTGACTGTGGCCCGGGGGGAGGCTGCCAGCAGCCTTGTCACAGCTCCAGCCATGCTCTGGCCCAGCGGCCCTGCCTGCAGCTGGAAGGACACGGGTTGCCAGAGTCCCTGGCACAGCTCCAGCATATCAGTGAGTAGCTGATCCCTGTAGCCACTGCCCAGCACCTCCTCAGGCCAGGCTGGGGCCATGGTCACATGGGGGAAAACCTTAGTCACAGCTGCAAAAAACTCCTTGCCAGCCATGTATCCAGGAACCTCAAAGCTCCCATGGGAGAGTGTGGCCCCTACCCACACAGGCCAAGACAGGTGACCCAGCGTGGAGAAGTTTGCCAGCATGGCCAGGGATGGCCGGAGGGCTTTGACCTCTGCTATGTGTAAATGGACACCCCAGCGTCCAGGGCGCGTGGAGAGCTGCAGCAGGCATGACTCTAGTGTCAGGGTGTTGCCCTCTGGGACATGCACAATGGGCTCGGGATTCTCAGCTGCAGGCTCTTGGAGACCGATGTCCAGCAGGATCATGCCTTCTTTGGCTGGAAGAGGCAGCAGAAGCACCAATGTGTAAAGTTCAGGTTATTGTGCAGATGCCAGTGGCTCTTGTCAGAGGGACAGTGCACGGGGCTGTGGGGACCACCATGGAATAGGGACAACTGTCTGAATGTTGTCGCTCCAAGTGGAAAGGATGCTTTATAAATGTGCCTGAAACTCATCAGAATAGATAACTCCACTAACTCTTGGGGTCTACTGGAACTGGGCTTTGGGGCCTGCGGCTGCATCTATTGCAGCCCTGTGTGGCCAAGGGCTCAAGGGCCCTGGGGTGAAAGCCAGGAGCCCCATGTTCTTGGCATCACCATACTCCCTCCACTCTCCTCCTACCTGTAACCAACATGTAGCATAAATAGATTGCCTGTTGCCATGGAAACAGAGACCCATGGTTATCTCCTCCAGAAAAGAAAAACCCTGCAGTTTATCCAAGAGTACATGGACCGCACACTGATCTTACCTGGCAGTGTAAGTGTTGAGGTGCCACGGATGCCAGGAACCAGCCATTCCACTTTCAGACCATCACCTCCCGAGGTCTGGAGGACAGGGATCAAGCTGCCCCCTGTGTAGTAGATGTGCTTCCTGGTGGTATTTGCTGTGGGGCCACAAATTGCCAAGATAAAGTGGCCACTTTTCACAGGGCCCCTGCTATTGTCCAGGGAACTGCACATCTTTTTCTGAACCTCACTGCACTCCACAGGTAGCTGTTGTTTCCCATTTTAGAAACTAGAAGCCGTGACCCACCTAAGGTCCTACAATGAATGAGTAATCACTGAGACTGGAACTTCTTGGAACCAGGTCTTTGGCTCTGAAGCTGGCGTCACACCCTGCCACCTCCCTGGAAATGTTAAGAAGGCTGAGCCTGTTGGAGCCCCTTTGAGATGACTTAACTGCTTACTTTCCTAGTTTTAAGGTCAAGGGACTGAGAGGCTTGGACAAGGAAAGAGGAAAGTGTTGCTTCTCTGAAACAGTCTGAAACCTGCTGGGTTTCACTCTCAGCTGTGCCACTGACAAGTTCAACAAACAACTCAACTCATTGCCATTGAATTGGAGCCAACTCATAGCTGACTGACCCTTCAGCACATTTTCAGAGGCTATAAATGTGGTGCTGGAGTGTTGACTATACCATGGACTGCCAGGAGAACAAACAGGTTCATCCAGGAGAGGGTGAAACCAGGCTGCTCCTTGGAGGCAAGGAGTCTGAGGTTCTGTCTGGCATACTTTGGACATGTTGCAAGGAGGAACCAGTCCTTGGAGAGGGACATCATGCTTGGGAGTGTAGAGGGACAGCACAAGAGAGGAAGATACTTGATGAGATGGATTGATTCAGTGACTGGGATAATGCAAGTAGGTGTGTCAGAGACAGTAAAGTTGGCACAGGATAGAGCAGGTTTCAAGGCTATTTGATATAGAGTCTCTATGAGTCACAAGCAACTCGATGGCACATAACAACAACAACAACAAAAAGAAATCACATGGAAGATTGTCCATTTTTCTCCCAAGGAACAGCTAATGGATTTGAACTACCTACCTTTGAATTGGCAGTACTGCTCTGTACTACCAGGCCACCTAAAGCTCCCACTTGGATGACTGTTAAATTACTTAACTGTTCTGACCTTCAGTTTTCCTATTCATAAGTGGAACTCCTGCTTTATAAATGTAGGGAGCTTAGACAGCATCCCAGGAATAGCATTGCCCAACCCCAAGTCTGGCAAATAGTAGGATCTCAAATGGCTTCTTTTTCTGTTCCACCCAGAATTTTCTCCTTCCTACTGTTTCACCTTCCCAGCCCCGCCCTTGTCTGCCTGCATCCAGCCCCCAACACCCCTTCCAAGGCTCCGCCTACCGGCAAGCTGCTTGAACTGCGACAGGAGAGGCTCAAAGATGTCGTAGTAGACTCGGTGGGGGGCGGTGTTGTCCCGGATGTAGAGGAGATCCTCCACAGGTATGGGGTCATTGGCTCCCTGCCACAGCGTCAGACTGTACCTGGGACCCACAGAGCTGGCTCAGCTGCCTACCTGGGCCCAGCAAAACCCTCCACACCCCTTCCCAGCATGCAGAATTGGACCCCTGGGCAGAAGTGGTATGCCTGGTCTCCAGCCTTAACCAGACACTTTTCTCTGAGCATCACTTTGGACAGACATCAGAAGGGCATCAAGAACAGTGATTGGAAACTAAGACCCAGACACACGGAGGGTTGGCTTGTCCTCCCTCATTTGGAACATGTATTTCTGGATCTTAGGAAAGAGAACAAGGACAGAAGAAGGAGAAAGGAAGGTGTCAGGCATACAGAGAAGGAGACAGCTTTGGGACTCCTGTGGGGAGTAGCTAAATCTGACACTGGATGACTTGGAACCAGCTGGGTTGGGGTGTCATAATCTTTCTACAGGGCTAGCCTAGGGTAAATGTAAAAGTTTACATTGCTTCCATATGGGGAAACTGAGTGGGGCCCAAGTTACATCTCGGTGTTAATACTGCCTAGTGGGCACAGTTACCACTAAAGCAAAGGACAAACAGGTTCGTCCTGGAGAGTGTGAGACCAGGCTGCTCCTTGGAGACAAGGATTCTGAGGCTTCATCTGACATACTTTTTTGGACATGTCGCAAGGCGAGACCAGTCCTTGGAGAGGAACGTCATGCTTTGGAGGGCAGAGGGACAGCACAAGAGAGGAAGACCCTCAATGAGATGGATTGATTCAGTGACTGGGATAATGAGAGTAGGTGTGTCAGAGACAGTAAAGTTAGCACAGGATAGAGCAGGGTTTAGGGCTGTTGTACATAGGGATGCTATGAGTTGCAGGTGACTCGAAGGCACATAACAATAACATCTCAGTAGATGGTGAGCAGCCTATTACCAGAGGCATACAAGCAAAAACTTCTCTAAGAAGGTGGGCTTGAGTAAATATTAGTTTCCGTGATCTTGACAACCTTTCTCGCCCTAAGTGTTGAAATCTTACTGGAAAACAGTAATTTCTGAAGGTAGTTTTAGAAGGAGACTGGGACTGGGCTTTTTACCTCTCAGATTGGTCCAGTAGCCAGCTGAAATGAGGCCAGGCAGGCCGCACAAACACAGCTCGCACGGGGAAGGTTACTCTCTGTCGCAGTGCTCCCACCAGCCCCTGCATCTCCTCCAGCATGGCTCGTGTGTACGGCAGTTTGAAGAGCCCGTAGTATGTGGTCCATCCGGGAGACACCGTGACCTCAGGATACTTCTCATTGATCAGGGACAGGAATCTGCAGAGAATCAGTGGCAGGTCATCCAGGGTCTTGCATTCCCACCACAGTGTTAGGACAGGCCATAGGAAATCTCTTAGACGAGCATAGACGCAGAGTCCTGGGGAATGGAAGCGGCTTGTAAGGGTCCACTATAAATAGGACATGGCCTTTGGAGTCAAGGAAGCCAGAACCGAGGTCCCGAGTGTAGACATTGTGCCTACATGCAACAGGGCAGCATGCCCTAAATGCCCCGTGTGGGTGGAGAGGACCGAATCCAGGGATCTGGACTCTGCCCGCTGTCAGAATTTCTGAGGTTTGGTATTTTCACTTTTAATTTTATTCAAGGTTTGCCCTTGATACCAATTTTAATAAGAAAATAATGCTACTGCTCCTCTCCCCAAAACTATTGATTAAATTTAGCACTCCAGAAAGACAAGCTATATTTATCTGGGCTATTGACTACATTTCCCAAATTGCTGCTTTCCAAGTAGAAACTGAGCCTCAGTTTGAGAAGGACAGAAGTATTGGACGAATGGATTGATATCTGGGTGGACAGACAGATGGAGAGAGAGAGAGAGATGGTAAAGAACATAGAATTAGCAAGGCCTGGTTTTGAACCTTTGTTCTTTGCCTTAACTAGCCTTGTTGTTTTTGTTGGTTGCTGTTGAGTCATTTCTGAGCCTTGGCAACCCCATGTGTGCAGAGTGAAACCACTCCATAGGGGCTTTCAGATGTGTGACCTTTCAGAAGTAGATTGCCAGGTCTTTGGGAACAGTCCCTGGGTGGTTAATAGTCCAGCACTTTGCCATTTGCACCACCCAGAGGCTCTTTACTGTCCTAGGCGAGTGCCATTTAGTGCCTATAAGATAGTTCTACTATTATTAAAATAAATAGTACCTACCTCATTCTTATTGTAAGAAATAGTGTACAGAATGTCAAGTACTGAAAATGGTGCCTGGGACGTACAATAAACAGTCAACAAATTGAGCCACAATTGTTGTCCGGTGCCTCATGTGTACAATGGGTACCCTAATCTGATGGTGCTGTCAGTGTCAGTTCAGACTGTGCGTGCGTGTGATTTCTTTGTAAACAATAGAGCTCTCTGCAGCCCGTGTCTGAGGGCTGGGGGCAGCAGTGTTGGCTTCTTAAGGGCCTGTGGAGAGAATATTTTAAATCTTTTAGCAAGCTAAATTTGAGTAGGCAGAGAGAATCCGCCCTCCTACCCTCAAAAATCCACAATGCAGTTGGGGCCACAAACCTGTGAACGTATGATTACTGCCCTGCCAAATCAGGCTGGTGGAAGGGGGAGGTGTGGGCTGAGGAACTGGAGGAAATCTCGCCAACCTGGGATGACAGGGAGGGTTTTGGAGGGGTTAACAACTGAGCAGAGGTTCATCATATGGGAAGGGCATCTAAAACAGGAAATAGCAACTCAGAGGTGAGACTAGTGTGACTAGAGGCACTCAGTCAAGGTCGTCCAAGCCTGTCCCGTGCCAGATATTGAAGGAAGATGACACAGCTGGGGCAGAGAAGCAGACACTGACCTTGTGGCATTGAGCTCAAGGGTGAGGGGCACATTGGGGCCCTTCAGGATGTCGGCATTGATCCACACAGGCCTCCGCACTTTCCCGCTCTTCGTTAGGTTCTGCAGCAGGTCCAGGGAGGGGCCCAAGGCCTTGATGTTCTTGAAGTCCAGTTTGATGCCTGAGATCAGGAAGGTGAGAGCTTGGTAGATGTCCTGGGTGCTTGAGAAAGAAGGAACCACAGAGCAGGAGTGTGGGTGTGGCTGTGGGTGTGGTGAGGACATGGGCACAGGGACCACATCCCTTCGGGGGTATAAAGAAAGGGCTTTTAAATAGGCAGAGCTTCTCAGAGAAGAGGAGCCCTTGTGGTGTGGTGGTTAAGTGTTCTGCTGCTACCTGCAATGTCAGCAGTTCAAACCTGACAGATACTCCATGGAAGAAAGGCATGGCAGTCTGCTTCCATAAAGGTGTATAGTCTAGGAAAGAATCCTGTGGTATTGTTCAATCCTGTCCTGTACGGTTGCTATGAGGTAGGATGACTTGATGGCCGTGAATTTGGCTTGATTTTTAGCATCCTGACAAGAAAGTCCACCTGGGAAGGGAGTGAGCACCCTCCCCAACAAGTGAAGAAGCAGAGGTCAGCTAAGAGCCGACAGGGCTGGGGCAGGGGGCCGCTGAGCATCTGATGAGAAGTGACTACATTCCTGCAAAGTGCAGAGACCCTAACCCTCAGCCACCAGGATAGGCAGGGAGGCGTTTGCTTTCTGGGAATGAACATTTGAGTAGAAGAGTGTCCCAAAATAATAAACAAACCCAGTGCTGCCTTTGAGTCAATTCCTACTCAGTTGCCCTGTAGGATAGAATAGAACTGCCCGATAGGGTTTCCAAGTTTGAAATCTTCATCAGTACCAACGACTTCATCTTTCTCTCAAGGAGCTGCTGGTGGGTTTGAACTTCTGACCTTTTGGGTAGCAACCAAGCAACTAACTACTCGCTGTGGGACCCAGCATGAACAGAAGTGGAGAAGATGGAAGTGAAGGGATTAGGAGATGTGGTTGGGAAGTTGTACCCTTGGTCAGAAGTGACACTTTGTCCTGATGGCAGTAGGGAGCTATGGAGAGTTAGGGCAGGAGAGTAGCATATTTGGAGATTAGGTGTTCTGTGTGTTAGCAGGCGGACATGCCCTTACCTTTCTTGGATGTAGTCAGTACAGTCTGTAGCCAGTGCTCCACTGTGTTGTCACTGTAGATGTTTGGGGGGTGTGACATGATGGGGACTCCTGTTTCCTGGGCCGTGTTTTGCCCTTCAATCATGATATCTGCCTCTAGGACCATGCTGTCATCTGTGCAGGGTAATTTTCAAATATTAATGTTTCTTGTGTAGGTAATAATACATGCTTATTCTATGACATTTGGACAATTCCAAAGGAAGAGGAAGGAAGAAAAATATCTACCTGTAGAAGCGACACTGGAAGGCCATGCTAGAGACACTCAGCATTTCAGGAGCTTGGTGGTCCAAAGGAGCCACTCTAGCTTATATAACACCACAGACCTTTAGCATCAGAAAGGACTTTTCCCCACTCACTGTCCCAACCATTCTCACTTCTGTCCTGAGTCCATCCAGTTCCATTTCTACACATCTGTTAAGAAATAACTCATTGCTGAAAATCAACTCTGAACTCAAGTCGTCTTGATATGGTCAGACACTGACAAATTTTTAAATCCATCTTTTTCTCTCTTCCTCAAGCTCTAGGTTCCAGCTACTTTAGTCTCTCGAACTTCAATGTGCGCACAAGTCATCCAGGTCCACATTGATAATGCAGGCTCTAATCAGTAGGTTAAGGAGCTCAGGTGACCTAGTGGCAAGAAGCTGCACTGCAATCCTGAAGGTATGCGGTTCAAGACCACCAGCTGCCCTGTGTGAGAAGGATGGGCAATCTCTTCCTTTGTAATTAACTGTCTCTAAAAACCCTTTGGAGCGTCAGCTAAGAGTTGGATCAGGATCAGATCCAACTCATGATACACAACAAACAATAACAACAGTAGTAGTTCTGGGGTCCTCTCTGGATCCATTTTCCTTTGTCAAAGTTCCATTTGATATGGCCCCAATTGCTCCTCTGCTGCCGTAGGATTGACCCAAGATGACTTTGAGAGTAGCAGACATCTCAATCCTCATCTCAGATAAGCATTCTCTTTCTGGTCTGGTGCCCTATGGGGACAGGGCTCTGTCCTTAACACCAAAGTCAATCAGCATCCCAACTGGAAGAAATGCCTCAGCAGCACACAAACTGCCCCCCCCCACCCTGAGCTCAGCCTGCTTCTCCCTTTGGTGACCCACCAATCAAACATGCTTCCTCTGAAAGTCCTCACTAGCTGTTGTTGTTTTTATTAGGTGTCATTAAGTACTATTCATAGCAACTCTGTAAATAACAGGTCTGAATCCTGTCCTATTCTGTGCCATCCTCATCATCTCTGACGTGAGCCCATTGGTGCAGTCACTGTGTCATTCTTATTCAGGGTCTTCCTTTCTTTTGCTGACCCTCCACCTTTCCAAGTACGATACCCCTTTCCAAGGACTAGCTTCTTTCTCCTAGCAATTTGATCAGAATATGTGATGAGCGTTCACCATCCTTGCCTCTAAGGAGCACTCTGGCTGCACTTTCCCAAGACATATCTCTTTGGGTTTTTCTGGAAGTCCATGGGATATTCACCACTCTTCTCTAACACCACAGTTCAAAGGCACCAATTCTTCCATTATCCTTACTCATTGGCTAGCTCTCAGATGCATAACAAGTGATTAAAAAGACTAAGGCACTTTACAGCCTGGTCCCGGCGCTATGGCCCCTGCAAAGAAGGATAGTGAGAAAAAGAAAGGCCATTCTGCCATCAACAAAGTGGTGACCAGAGAGGACACCATCGATATTCACAAGTGCATCCATGGGGTGGGATTTAAGAAGCGTGCTCCTCGGGCACTGAAGGAGATCTGGAAAGTTGCCATGAAGGAGATGGGAACATCAGATGTTTGCATTGACACCAGGCTTAACAAAGCCACCTGGGCCAAAGGAATAAGGAATGTCCCATACCGCATCCGTGTACTGTTGTCCAGAAAACGTGATGAGGATGAAGATTTCCCCAAACAAGCTGTATACACTGGTTACCTATGTACCTGTCACCACTTTCAAAAATCTACAGACTGTCAATGTGGATGAAAACTAACAGCTGATTGTCAAATAAAGTTATAAAGCTGTCAAAAAAAAGACAAAGGCCTGAATCAGGCACACTTTAGTATTCAAACCAACATCACTAGTAATTTGGAGAGGTCCTGGACTGTATTTTCCAAAGACAATATGTCTCCTGATCACCTCATTACTAGTACCAAAGGAGCTGCACTTGTGGATCCAAGTAAGATGAAATGATTGACAATGTCAATCTTTTCTCCAGGCAAGGCTGTATCACCTGCATACTGCAGGTTGTTAATGAATCTTCCTCTGATCCTGATGCCACATTCTTCTTCATAGTGTTCAGCTTCTCAAGTGATTTGCTCAGCGTACACATTGAATAGATACAGAGAAAGAATACAACCCTGATGCACAGCTTTCCTGATTTTAAATCTTGCTCTGTTCAGACAGCAGCTTCTTGGTCTAGGTATAGGTTTTATGTGAGCACAATTAAGTGGTCTGGGATTCACAGGGCTGCTAGGAGTCTTTAGAGCACAAAGCACACACATGGAATCCATTTGTTGAAGTTAGGCATTAAGTTGACTCATGTCTGTCCCATATAGGACAGACTGAAACCTTGCCCAATGCAGTACCACCCTCACAAGCTGTTGTTGTT